TAGTCATCCTTTCTGCACGATATTCTCTAGCTCCCACATCTTTGCTTTTGCTCAGACTTAGACATACTTCTCCACTGTCTACCAATCATTTGCCAAATCTAGTTCACCCTTCTAAGATCATCACAAAAGCCAATTCTCAGAAGAAGAATTCCCTGATTCCCAACAAAGCTCTTCCTCCAAACACCCCTGAGCCTAGCATCACCACCATCCAGTACCATTACTATCACCACCAACATGACAACATTGAAGTGTTTTTTCAATGCACTTAATTGTGAAGTTTTTGCCCTGAGGATTAAATAAAAGTCCCATAAATTAAAAAAGAAAAAAGTTGGCCATTGTTTTCCATCAGCCACTATTAGTCTGAGACACTTGAGAGAAGATGCTTTTATATCCACCAAAGCATCTAGTCCAGCTCCTGGCACCTACCATCCTCTAAAACACTAATTATAAGACATATCAGAGATCAAGTAGTGATTTCAGCCTGGCTTTCCCCAATGTCTTCACCAATATGCTTTCACAAATATTCCCTTCTCATTCCCCAATAGAAGGATGTGCCATCTCCTATAATTGTCACTTTCTCAGAGAGAATGTCCTTGCCCACCAAATGGAAGGTAGTTCCAGCCCATTATAGTCTTCCTGTGCATTTTCTTCACAACCCTTGTCCTAATTTAATGTGCATACTTATAGTCCATTGCTTTGGTAGCACCCATTTTCCCTACAAGTCTATAATCTCCATAAGAGAACAGATCATAATTATATTGTTTCTTGCTGAAATAGCCATTTCTTAAATAATCAGTGTTACATACACATTTTGTAAATATTTTCTCCAAGTTTGCTGATCATTTTTAAATTTTAAATATTCTATAGTCAAATCTGTTTATCTTTCCATCATGGCTCTTGAAGTTCCTCTTAACATGTATTTTAATTGCTTCCTTGGGATATGTACCTACCGGTGGAAAAGTTGAATAGGCATCTCTTTAAGGGTCTTTGTCCATTTTATCAAATTGAACATGCTTAGCCCTCTGGCAAAAGTTTGACTTGCATTCTTAAAACTCTACCAGTGGCCTTATGCTATTAGGTTTTTCCAGGCAAGCTGGCTAGAATTCACTTAATGCTAGGTAAGCATACCTCTAAAATTTTCAGGAGCTGAGTGCCTCTAGCAGAGATGCTGTGTTTAGCACTGTGTACAAGAGGGGAAACTTTCATACTCTCCCCTGATCATTAGGACCAAATCATTTGATAGTCCTCTCATGGTTTACTTTTACTCAAATGAATGCACAGATTTATCCATACAGATTGTCCCCAAATGATTCCTTTTGCTTTATTTCTATAGCAACTAGATCACCTCCAAGATCTGTGGTCAGCCTGAAAATATGTGTCACTCCCTTTCCTGGTCACGAGCTTAACCATGGTACAGGTTTCCCCTGCTACCCAAAAGTAAAGATTTTCTATGAAACCTTTCAAAAGCTGAAATGGCATAAAGTAAAGAAGCAATTACCATTAACTCATATGGAAAAATCTTTAAGAGTTCCCATACCCCAAAATAACCTACCAAATCATACCAAATCCACTTAATTACATCCAGTTTTAAGCTAACACCCTTGTAAACTCTCTTAGGCTTTTCTGATACCTTAGGACACATCTTGCTAGCAGATGCACAAAATAAATTATGATAAAGGGCAGATGTTCACAGGCAGTTCAAAGCCATGGCGCCTTGACGCTGAGATGTTGAGTGTAGTTTGTGGGGAAGTTGCTCCAGGCGCCTCTATCAAGCTTGCTGGAAAACAAACACTGAATGCTATTTTTGCTTTTTCCCTTTCCTCATAAAAGCGTAAGGTCCTCCTCCAATTTCTTTTGGTTAGAGAAAACAGGTACAGGTCTTTCAAAAAAACCAGTGATGTACCACAAACTTTCCGGAAAGCAGGGGATACCGGTAATGCATAGTGTCTTAGCCAACTGGGTAAACAATTTGACCTGGCTATTCCAGTCCAGCTACCATAAATGCTGCCAGTTATAACAACAGTTCCCATCATAGAGAAATGTCACTAAAGAATGTAGTCCACTGTGAGAGTAACCTGATAAATATTATTGGATGAGATGACATGGAGACAAAAGTTTGGTAACTTCAGTTCACATTTAGCCCTTAGCCATGCCTGTGATCATAAGGCTTCACCTGACCTTTAATCATCACACAACACACAGGGGAATAGTGCTGGGTAAGCCCAGCCAAACACTCAGTGGGGTTTTCCTAAATTAGAACTGCCTGTAATATATCCTTTCCACTGCCTTTCCTCTGCAGATTAAAGAGTGTAATTCTTTATAATATATATATCTTGCCTATTCCAGGTCCCAAACACATGGTAAAAAAACAAAACACACACACAAATGCACACTTTTCTATTGCTTCTGTTCTTAGGATGTAATCCAGGAAAAAGAAGGGAGTTTTACCTTAAATTTACTTGCTTCATCAAAGAGAGTTTTATTTGATCCTTTGGCCCCTGGAACACTTGTTGTTGTTTGTTTTATCAAGTTATGAAAATATGTAACAAAGGATTCAGGATACAAAAAAAACCCCACAAATCATAGTAGTATTAAGACCCATCTCCAAGTGGAGATGCAATTTGTTGCTGTTCAAACCATGTTTCCCCAGTTTGAACAGCAACAAATCAGGGTAGGAATCACCAAGATGCATCCGGCATCGTCCCAACCCTGATACCTTTCAAGGGAGGGAGCCCAGGGTGGAGCAAACCATGTGTCTCAGTTGGTTGAGCATTGCCCCATGCACTGAGAGGTCTGGAGCTTGATTCCTGGTCAGGGCACAGGCCTGCCTGATCCCAAGTGGGGGCATGCAGGAAGCGACCGATGGAGGGTGATGGTTCTCTCTCATCTTTCTCTCTCTCTCATCGCTCTCTCTTTCTCCCCCTTCCTGTCTCTCTCTAAAATCAATAAAAAAAATTTTTCTTTACCATAAACAGCTGCAATACAATGTTGTGAGAATGGCCATATTTGGAAGGGCGGAGAGAAGCAATCAGGAAAGATCTCTTGCAGCACATAGTTCTTACGCTGGGCTTTAAGGCTAGAAAATAATGTTTTGGGTCAAGATTTGGATTCAGGACATTTCATACAGGGGAACGGAGCCAGCAAATTCTTGATGGGAGAAAGAGAAAGCCAGTCAAGTTCACAAGCTGATCCTTCTTTTAAATTTTGTTTTTAATTAACAGAGTTACACCCACTGGAGAGAGAGAAATGAAGAGCCTTTTATTGCCACAGGAAAGTCAATGTATTTTGGCAGCTTCTCAAGCCTCAGCGAAAAGGTACCTGCAGTTCCCGACGCCCACCATTCTCTCGCGGGACGGGCCCTTCAGGTGGCTTCGCCCTCGCGCTGTCCAATGGCAGAGGAGCCCATACTTTTGAACGCAGCTCATTGGCTACTGTAAAAGCCCGCTCTGAGCAAGAACCAATGAGCTCCCGGAGCCCAGATTCTTGGAAATAATTCCCGGCCAGGAATGCGTGACATTGAGACCGCCTCGCGCTTGTAAACAAGGACGGGCCTGGGCGGGCCTCCAGCCCACGCGGTCCGGGGCCCGGTCCCAAGCGGCTGACCTGGAGCCCACTGACCTCCAGATGCCCCCTTCGGCTCCCCGCCGCCCCCTTTCCCTCACACGCTCGGGCACCTGCGCCCGGTCCCTCGGCGGCGACCCTCGCCCCGGGGGCGGGGCCCAAAGTTCTTCATCCGAGCGGATTGGCGGGGTCCCG